TATGACTTAACAGCAGAGAATAAGAAATGATTAAAATAGATTTTAGTTATTAAAAAAATTCTTTGAAATTATTTTGAAAGTGTTGAATATGTCAAAGTTTATATGCTACATGTTTTCACTGTATGTTGAACAGATGTTTCTGGCAGTCTTTCCTTGCAGGTGTTTTCTCACATTCCAAAAACGTACGTTATGTAAACTGATGAATTTAATGTGTGACAGTGTCCATGCATAGATGTACTGTAGGTCAGATTTGTCTGTCTCTGTGCCGACCTGTGCAGCCTATTGACATAAATATGGTGACCTGCCCAACTTTTACTCTGTGATAATGAAGTTTAAATAGAAAATGGATGAATTGTTTTTTTTAACATTTGGTCTGCTCTCCATAAAAAAGCATTTCCATATATATTCAGAATCTGAAAATGCACATAATTATGAATATTTCCCAGGGAGTGTTACGCCTTCAGCATACGGTAATAACCTCAGGCCGGAGTATGCAGGGAACTATTGCATTAACATGAAGTTACAAGTGCCAAGGAGCACTGATGTCATACCTGAATTCTCCAACAGCAAGTGCACATCCCACACATATGCACATGCGCCACCAAAGCTCTAACTGCCTTGATTTTCCGTCTCTCAGCTGCTTCAGCACATGGACCACACCTGTAACCCCCTTCAAACCCATCATATTTCGCTCTTCAATGCAACACCAAAACAGCAAGGGAGCAAAACACGGCGGGCGGCGCACCCTCACTGTGATGACAGCCAAACAGCAATAACTGCAGCTCAAGCAGCTGTGCGCCCAATCTGCATTGAATTTGTTTATCAGACACGGAGCTCCGACGTGAAAACAACAACCCTAATCCATCAGGCCTTTGTCCTGACGTCCTCGTGGCTCAGTTCACCTCTGCTGCAAAATCCTCCGGGAGAAGCCAGAATCATCGTTTTGAAAAGGCCAAAAAACAGAGCTGGAATACAATCTCTCTGTACTTAGGTGTGCACTCATATATGCGCTGGCAGTGGAAAACAAGATAGTTGAAATTGAAAAGGAGATGGAGGTGAAAGCACTCCTGCGCAACAAATGATACCTCTTTAAAAAGTGTATCCGTTTTAAAAGCCTTGAAAACATTTGTTCCAGAGACAACACATCTTCTCCAGGTTTCCGCTGCTATTATTGTGTCAAGGTTTGTATTGATTCGGAAATTGCACGAAAACTATTTAAAGTCAACTATTTACTCCTTTAGAACTTCTAAAGTACGCATTAGGCATGCAGGCTGAGAAAATACAGAGAAAGCTTATTTTACTCCAAATTAAACCATGAACCACATCTTTAGACCTCCAGCAATCCAATATGTGCTCTTCAAACATTAAATACAAAATGCTTATCAGTGACAAACAAAAGCATTGTTTGCACGCACACAAGCACATAAACATTCATGGTTTCTATTCATTAGAAAGGCTGTGAATCTGCAGGCAGCAAAATGAAAAGGAAAGCTTAACAGCTTGTTATTAAATGTAAGACAAAGAAACAAAGCAAACGGGGAAATTAGTCCTGACAGTTCCATCAGCCAGAAGCACCAACACACCACCTGTTTTCCACCTGCTTCACTGTTTTATTGGGAGGATTATTTAAAATGAACTTACACCTTCAGAAGCCAACACATCCTGGACTAACTCTATTACATGCAGGAGACGTGCCGTCATCTCAGTAAAAACAATCCAATTAAAGCTTCTGCAAACAAACCAACACTAACCTTACTTCTTAAAAACAATCTATATTCCCTTTCTTACAAACGTATTATGTTTCTAACAAAGACATTGTATAGCGTTAATGTTGAAATACATTTTTGATTTCTTTGTTTTGCACCATCTCTAAGTGAATGTCACCCTAAAAAAAGGTCACTGTGTTTATAAGTAATTTTTAAAAAGTGTTGCTCAAATCCTCACCTGGTTAGAACAGGTTGAAAGGACAAGTATTAGCCATGCATTCACTAATCTGTAGAGTGGGAAGAGGAAGGTCAATGCTGAAAGAAAGCAAGGTGACCTGTTAATTTAACACACGCCATGTAGGAGACACAGCAAACATCTGGAAGAAGGTGATAAAATGGTCTACATGCAAATGGTTATTGGATGGAAAACTGACGATTGACATCAACCTGTTCATGCCATCTCTATAGAGAAACACGCTGCTAGCAGTATAATGCTGTGGAGATGTTTTCTCTTCGGAAGTCACTCAAAACCAGGTCTCAGTTGACATGAAGATGAATGGAAACAGGACCTGCTGCTTTAACCCACTGAGACTAGGGTGAACATTAACCTTCTGCAGGATGAATAGCTCACCATTTTCACATATAGGGCTATATAATATCAGAAAACACTAAGGTAAATAGTAGGAGTTAAACTGGTCATGAAAAATGACCAGTTTAACTGTAACTTTACATCTGTTCTCCTATTGCTGTATTATCAATTTAGACAATGTCATTGGTGTGAGCAACTGCTGCCGTGATACTATTCATTAGGACTATTGTTACACTGGAATATGAAAACTAAGTTTATAACAGCTGGAATATATTAGCCTGAAATGAAGGAACTCAAATAAGTCCTTTAGATTATGAACATAACACACAATGATATTGCGATGACGATGTACATTTGCTAAGTGCTATGCAGCCTTATTCAATTAGTCACATATTCAAGTGTAGGAGCAGTTAAGTGAAAGTCCTGACTTACATCTAACTGAGAATTTAATCGTTGGTGATTTAAAGTGGCACATTGCATATTTATTAAGACTGGATGAGATGCAACTTGGACAGATTTAGACATTAAGGCGGTTGTTCATCTCCAGGCCCAGATCAGGTAAATATAAAAACAAGGAGCATATATGTATAGGACAATATAAAATGATAAATAATTAACAACATATATTATCAACGTTTTTGTCAAAAAAAGAAAGTTTTCAAAATATATTTTTGAATGAGACGGTGAATAAAAATGATATACAATAAAGCCGTTATTAGTAAAACAATAGTAAAATGCTTTGTTAGGATATTTGATCTTCCAAGAGTACCTTTTTTCACTGATTTTAATAAAGTTTTTAGACATAAGATGTCATAATCTGGGGCAATACCTTAGAACTACTGTTTGCTCATTATCTGTATCCTTCCTGATGGGATTCAGGTTTTTTGGCTATAGAGAACAGGCAAAAATATTGGTAGCTTTATGTACAGACATCCTAGACGTTCTTTAAACTGTAACTACAGCAGATGGTAGTTCTAGACCAAACATTGACTTAGAATTCTGATGTACACCAAACTTTTTAGGTTTTCATCAGTAAATGGTAAATGGCCTATACTTAAATAGCACTTTTTCAAGTCAGGAGACTTGACCAAAGTGCTTTACACTACATTCAGTCATTTACCCATTCATGCACACACTCACACACATTGTAGCCACAGCTGCGCTGGGGCGTACACTGGTGCCACCAGGCTCTCTGACAACAATCAGTAGACAATGCAGGTGAAGTGTCTTACCCAAGGACACAACACTGAAAGTCGGAGCCAGGGTTTGAACCGTCAATCCTTCGATTTCAGGGCAAACTCCTACATCCGACACCACTGTCGCCCTATGCTCAGGGCTCGCCCAGCAAAAGATCACTCGCCCAGTAAAAGATCAAATAAATATGCCTTACTTGTAAAATATGCTTTACAAATAAATATGCAAGGTCTACTTTGTGTTGCTCTGTCAAATACAGTCACCATAAATATGAAGATTTGTGGTTGGATCCCAAAAAAAGTCCTAATTCCCTGTTACTCAAACAAATCACAAAATAAAAAGAAGTTATGAGAAAACTGCAGGAGATGAAAAAAAAGTTTTCAACAATATGCTTCAGATTCAGAAAAAAACTGAGAACCATATGTTTTACCTTTTCTTTGTCCCATCTGCTCATTTATAACAATAAAGAACGAGAAAGAAGGAAGGAAGGAAGGAAGGAAGGAAGGAAGGAAGGAAGGAAGGAAGGAAGGAAGGAAGGAAGGAAGGAAGGAAGGAAGGAAGGAAGGAAGGAAGGAAGGAAGGAAGGAAGGAAGGAAGGAAGGAAGGAAGGAAGGAAGGCTGATCAGAGTCAATTGGAGGGTGAAAATCAAAATCAGCACAATCTAGGGGGTGGGGGAGTTTGAGGCTGTAGAACAGTGTTTTTCAATCCTGGTCCTCAAGGCACCCTGTCCTGCATGTTTTAGATGTTTCCCAGCTTTCACACACCTGTTATCAATTGATAGCAGATTATCAGGCTTTGCTGAACTGCAATCATCTGAATCAGGTGTGCTGAACCTCAGAAACATCCAAAACATGCAGAGCAGGGTGCCTTGTGGACCAGGATTGAAAAACACTGCTGTAGAAGACTAGAGACTATAGTGGATATCAGCAGCAGAGCCACCCTAAACATGGAACTAGTTCCAATCAAAGCCCAATCATTTGTTAGAATATTCTGATCAAAGTCTTCACCTTCTTCCAGTTAATGTTTGGCGAGACTAAAAATCTGACACTAAGATTTTCTTCATCCAGCCTAACAAAGCTTGAATTCTTTGACTGTGAAGTATTTCTAGATGTAAATCTGGAAGAAACAAGCTGCATCAGAAGGTACAGATGGTTTTTACAAAGAACTGAATCAGGGAGTTGGATACAAACACGTTTCAGATAACTTTTCTACTTTTAGTCAATTTTAAGTTGTTGTTTTTTTTTTATTCATTTATTGTTATCATTTCTATTTTTTTCTCCTCTACTTTAGTTCTTTAGTACTTATCTATCTTGTCTATCAAACCAAATTCGGTAAAAAAAAACAAAAACATATTGATATTTAAATGTGCATCAAAAAAAAGAAATAAAAATGCTGAATATTTGAACAATAAGTACACAGTAGGAGCAAACATCAGAGCAGGTAATATTCTCTAAGCTTCTATAAGACTGAATCTGGTTAATAAATACATTTTTTATTTTTTTTATTTCAGGTTTTCTCTTTGCTGATTGTTGGAATCGGGGTTTATGCTAAAGTCCAGAAAGCCACAGGTATGTGTAAACACACTTTTCACACACAGTTCACAATACAGTTTTTAATGTATTTCCGTAAAAATTCAAAAAATATCCACTGGACTTGGTTTTCAAGATTTGAAGTCCAGTGGATATTTTTTGAATTTTTACGGAATGACTTTGACCTGGATGACTGAGAACCTTCATCAGCAGTTTTTAATGTAAAAACAATAGCATTCAGACCAACATCATTGTTCTGTCAGGCCTATTGTATCCCAGTAAAAATCAACAGAGATCTGCAGCATTGATCTCATGCTGGTGTGTGAAACAGAGAGGGTCGGGCTTCAGCTTCATCCCTAATTCTCACATTTAATTTAGGATGTATATAGTTCATGGACAACAAAAAGGATTAACTTGTGACTAATCCCAGCGATCAAACCTCTGCATCTGCATAATCCTCCAATTTGAAATCATCATTGAAGCTTCCAGACTGTCGCGGCAGCTAGTGTGGGAAGGGACAATGCAAAAATAGAAAACTATTAAATTTCAAATAATTGAGTCAAAGAGAGATTAAAAATGAGGGTAGAAAAGTAGAGCAGGAAGTTCAGACGATTGCAGCTTTTTGAACGCAGGCTGTTTTCCTCTCTCTCTACCAGACACGGTGCGGGACACGTTCCTGGTCGACCCAGCTGTCATCCTAATTGTTGTGGGGGTGGTGATGTTCTTCATCACTTTCTGTGGTTGCATTGGAGCCCTCAGAGAGAACATTCGCCTCCTCAAGACAGTAATTCTCCAAAAAGACACATCACTAATATTGACACTGTGTTTTGCTTCTAGTTTGGCAGCTAAAATGACACTAAATCTAAAATTGTGTTTCACATCAAATGCTTAACAGCAAAAGTGTCAATGTGAATTAAACATTCCTGTCTTTCTATTCCTTTCTAGTTTTCCTTCAGCCTGGTACTGGTCTTTCTTATCCAACTGGTTATAGCGATTCTGGGCTTTTTCTACTCTGATCAGGTATCTGCCAACCTTTCTAAGAACGCTTTCTGCTTGTTTTCAGCTCTGCAGTAACCAGGGGGCACTTTCAGGGCCTTAACAGATGCATCATTTATAATTCCTGGATCAACCACAAGCACCTGCAGTAGTGGCTATATGTGTTAGCTCTCCTGGTAAAGAGGTGGAGAAAAGTCTATAAATACATCGAGTTGTTGTTGCACTGCATAAAAAGCTCCAAAAACTTTAAACACTGCTGACCTTTATTTTAAGCATTTGTATTTATTGGGAAACTGAAGAGGAGCCAAAAGGCTCTCAATGATCTGTAATTTTTCACAAGGTTGGAGCATTTTAGAGGAAGAATATTTGCACAATGCGTTTAAATGGGTCTGATGCTCTCTGATCCTCTTCTTAGTTCAGCCAAAATTTGTCTGTGGTATAATTTTCTGAGATGACCATGGAAGATGCATGAATGACAGTGTTGCTGTGTCAGTTTGGCCATATCGTGCAGAAAGAGTCACCAGGTTTTCTGGTATGGCAAAATAGGTTATAGCAGCATTTTCCCTGACAGGTTTCCACAGGGCTTTAAAAGTGAAAATTAACCGAATTTAAGTCTTATCTGACTGAAACATCCAGTTCCTGTAAGAATTCTAGTGAAGATTAGCAACTTTCAAGCATTTTCTTACAATGGGTTTATTCCACATTCTTTAACAGGGAGCCTTGAAGTTTTTGTACCCATCACTGTCTTTCAGTATTGCAAAGTGGAATGCCAAATATGGGTCCTCATTCAGCTAAATAACCAGTGCCTTATAGAAATAGAGCTCTGCATTGTGTCATGTTTAAACTGCAGAGTAATTTAGTCTCAAATTACCAATAAAAAGTCTCTCAGAACACTTATTAGTGGCTCACATCAATGGTTTTTAACTTAACCAGATATGTATCAGAGCCCAATGGCACTTAAAATGTTGTAGCATTGTCTTAAACAAAAATATGCATTACATCAAGGTATAAAAGTTTTTTATGCTGATTGATATGGAAAAGAAGTGAAAATTTGCTGGAATATAAACTTGTTAAGAAGAGTGAAGCAAAGTGGTCAGTCAGATTTTCTTAGCAGCCAATCTGCACAGTTGATTAGTTCATTTTCATATCTCTAATTTCTGTTCCTGTACTTCACATTTGAATTTATTAAATTCTTTTTATATTTTTCCAGCCCATACTTGAAAATATTTGAAGTTTCAGGTTTTTGAAAAGTATTCCCTGTAAAATATCATATTTATCAAAACCAATTTATCCCCCAGAACCAACTTGCCACTGGTGAAACGATTTGACTGACATAATTATCTGTATCATAATTCCTGAAGTTTAGGCACTAAGAGTGCAAGAAAGCAAAGACATTATACTATATATATATATATATATATATATATATATATATATATATATATATATATATATATATATATATATATATATATATATATATAATACTATACCTACCATCAGATCTAATGAACATGAAATATATTTCAGTTTTACAAGGTTTTCTTGTCAAACTAGTGACATGGATTTTTTTGTTGTGGATCAAGCTGTGAGAAGTTCCGAATACCAGTTTAGGATTTATTAAATTTTTTAGCCAAGGCCAAGTGCTGATAGACTCCTACTAAGGAAGACTGGACAGTGAAACTAAATTAGAAGGTGCTTCTGTGGTGTTAAGGTCAGCCCACTCTATGTAAGAACCAGTGTTGGGCACGTTACTTTGAAAAAGTAATTAGTTATAGTTACTAGTTACTTCTCCCAAAAAGTAACTGAGTTACTAACTGAGTTACTCCACAATAAAAGTAACTAGTTACTAGTAAAAGTAACTATTGCGTTACTTTTGCGTTTCCCGCCCCGGTAACCCTCACCACCCAGCCCCCACCTTCTCGCCTGTGTTTCCAAAGCCAGCTGAATAGAGCGGACGACAAAGACAAGAACCTGCAGACAGTTTAGCATTTATTGCAACTCAACGTAAATGACATCAGGGGGAACGCGATGTGAAGTTTTATAACAGGACATTCAGATCCGGTGAGTATATGAAATTAATAACTGGGGATGTCTAATTCTGAAATCCTGTGTGTTTGGGTTGTTATAGATACTGCAACATCTATCTATCCATCTATCTATCTATACTCTGTGTGTGACATAAAATATGGATCTCCATCCCTGCCACAAAGGCCATCAAATAATGTTTAAAATAAAAAATACAGTAGGTTGAGAAGGCAGAGTATCCATCCTTCCATCCATCCATCCATCCATCCATCCGTCCGTCCGTCCGTCCGTCCGTCCGTCCGTCCGTCCATCCATCCATCCATCCATCCATCCAGATTTCTCCCTTTCTCCATATAGGCTATCATTTCTGGCTGTTGTCAGGTTCATTTGATCGTTCACGCTCTCCATAGTTCTCCTGTGGCGCGAGCACAGAGCGACTGTTGCGCGCATTTAGCGAGCATGCGCGTTTCCTGTCGCTTGCGCGGTGACTCTTGCCGCCTGCGCTGTGTGGAGATGCAGAGGAAACCGGTATGTGATGGGGAAACGCAGCTCTACGTAACACCGGTATTTCCATGTGGAAAACGCTGTTTTGCTGCTGGAGTCATCCTCACTCTCCATCTCTCTGTGTGTGCTGTACATTAACACCCACCAGCAGAAACACCCACCTATTCAACTGACAGACGGAATCTCATCCTCCCCTCTCTCATGACAAGGCGCGCACCTCTGGATGACCTAAAAAAATAATCCTTAATATCTCTTAAACAAAAGTAGCACAAACAATATTTTTTTCTGCACAAATCTGCACTAACGTTGCACTTACCATTCAGTCTATTTGCAGAGTTTTTTGACGTGGGTGGGGTGTCAGCTTCACGCAGCTGCGCACGAGTCCTATCATGAAAAAAGGTTCATTGTGCGACCTGAGTAACGCGCAGTAACGGGGTGCCTGCAATGGTAACTGCGTTATAGTTACAGTCAAGGTAATTAGTTAGATTACTCGTTACTAAAACAAGGTAACGGCGTTAGTAACGCCGTTAGTTTCAACGCCGTTAGTCCCATCACTGGTAAGAACAGAGACACTTGTTTTTTTCTAAAAGGGCTGCAAGAACAGAATCACCCCCTGCTGTTCTTGCAGCGCTGGTTTGGGAATTTTTGCTGCAAGTTCTGGGCAGAACTTTTTTTCTGTGGTGTCAGGAAAATGCTGCAGAGAGAGAGAGAGCTGTGAAAGCATCCCGGGAGCTCTGCACTTTGTTTCTGGTTAAAGATGAAATGTCTTTTTTCTTTTTCATATATATATATATATATATATATATATATATATATATATATATATATATTAATTAATTTGTTAAAGATGATAGGAAATTAATTTTTTTTTTTATTCACAAAAACATTAGAGAGGGGCATATAAACCTTTCTTAAAGCTTTTGTATTTCTTTCCTTGAGAATTTAGAGCTTCCTTTTATAGTTTGCATTGACGTTATGTAGTACAATTATTTGTTTAATTTGTAGAGTACCGACTTTTATCTATTGCTCAAGTTTATTCTGTAACCATGTTTCTAGCTAAGAGCAGCTCTCACATCCACTTATCCTGTTCAGTAGCTTCCCCATTAAAGGTCCACTAGGAATAAAAATACAACAGCCAGCAGGGGCAATGTTCCCTTACATCAGTGCATCGTGGTGATGTTCCTGGTGTTTGATAATGCCTCTCCTCTCCCTTGTGTTCTCTGTCAAGCCTCGGACTGCCTGCTGCTAAACAGAGCAGTTTAACAACCCTCCCAGCATCCTTCCTCGCTAAATGATTCAGATGCTTCGGCACTTCAAAGTGGAACCAAATGTTCCATTTCAGGAGATCACTTAAAGGAAACTTTTCCCGCTAATGACACAGTGCGGCGGTGGGCTTCAAAGCCCAAAAGCCAAGCATGGAAACATAGGGGCAGAGGGATCCAACAGGGGTGGGGGTGTAGTTCAGTAAAATTATTTTAGGATAACAGTATTTATCAATATAAACAGTGTGTAATCGAAACAGTCTATGAAGCATTTATGAAACCCCCCCCCCCCCCCCCCCCCCCCCCCATTAGGATTAATTATATCTGAATTCTGTAACTATGAGTCTTCTTACTATCACAAAAGTAAAATAGGGAACTAGCCTGTGCTAAATCCCAGTCATCTGGTCCTGATAACTAAAAAAATGACTTAAATCAGAGGCAAACAGACTTTAGCTAATTTTTTTTTCTGAAAACCTTTCTACACCTGCTGTATCCAGGTTTCTTCATCCTTTCTGCCGGCTAACACTAGAAGAACTGAGTTAAAGTCCAGCTGCCTTCAATTTAAGCCTCTTATGTGGAAGAAATAGATTAGTTAAAAAGAGAAAAAAAATACTTTGATAGACTTAATTAGAATAACAGGCTAAAATGTTATAAAGCAGCTTTATTCAGTTATAACAGATTATTGTTGATATATTTTTTTCAGTGCGTGTTCCTATTTGCATCACTTCCAAGGAGCTGATAAAGAAATTACATTATAATAACTAATGGGCAGGTTTATACTTATCTGCTGCTGGTGAATCTTCCTAAATCCTCGGCTGATTTGTATTTTGTCTACATCTTATATTGATGTCAAAGACATGAATAATTTTGCTGTTGACATTATGTATTCTGCACTTCTGCTGATTCTGCAGACGCATCTGATCCAGAAGGTACACAGAGGAGAGCGATGGTGCTCCTTTCATACATGCATCATCTTATTTTCCTTTAAAAGCGACTCACTGTGCACAGACTGATGCTGCACGATATGCAAGCAACACAAAGGAGGGTGCTTCTCAGAAGTCTACACACCTGACATTTTCTCGATTTTATCTCCTCACAAAAAAATACAAACAAAACATGTTTTGGTTTTTATGATTGGCCAACATCAAGCACACATGAATAAGAAGTGGAAAGAAAACTGCTCATTGTGTTTACATATGTTTATGTATAAAAAAAATAAAATTGGAGGACATTTCTTTCTGTTCAGCTGAGACCAAAGCTGAAAAGCTTTGTAATCTATGCATAATGCTGTGTGTCAAAAAAAAGCGTCTATATGCATTATCCATGGTTGAACAGGAGGATGGTATCATCATGCTTTGGAAATGTTTGATCTACTGAAAGAAGATAACTGGTCAGAGCTAAAGAGAAAATAGATATAGCTCAATATAAAAATAAATGTATAAAGCATAATTCTTAAAGCAGGAAGAGCAATTTGTAAAAAAAAAAAAAAAAAAAAAAAAACATATTTGAATGGCATTACTTACATTTTAGACATTAAGCCTTCATCAAAATTTCACTGGTCACATGGTTTGATCAAAAGCTACAGTTAACAACAATGCTTTTAGTCATTCTTTACAAAGATCCCACAGTTTCTGCATAAATTATGTTTTCAGGGATTTTGTTCCCAACTGAGGAGGGTAGGAAGTGAAAGCTGCATCTCTTTAAGAGTAAGCTCTCAGTCAGGACAAAGACTCCTTATTCTAGATGTAGAAAACTAGTAAAGGGTTAAGATCTGTAGTTTAAGGTGGCTCAGCAAACCATGGTTTAAGGAGCCTGAATTAATAAATGACGTCTGAAAACAAACCTTGCAAACAATGTTAAACTTTCCTCCAATCTAGTTTGTGTCGGTGCATCATATGAAAATCCCAACAAAATACAATAAAGAATAAAGTTTTAGGCTGTGGAGTGATAAAATGTTCCAGTAGATCCAGATACTGGTTTATATTCCAACTATAAGGATCTTTTATGTTTCTTTTTCTTTTAGCTCCAATTAATTGCAAACTGTTAGGCAATATGTTTTCATTAATCTTTGTACAGAGCTTCCTGCCATAACAGGTCCATAGCTAAATTTACAATGTACATTTTGTCACAGCCTTCAGATGGGAATATTATGCAACATGAGGCTTTGCTGTAGAATTAAAGCAGATGTAAATAAGCCAAACTGTTCATTAAAGCTACTAAAAAAACATGGAAAGCCACCAAATTACCCAGAAGTACCTGGCTGGCAGCTATTTTGGAGGCAGCACTGACTGAGGCTTGAAATGATTCCAGCAATTATCAATCATAGGCTCTGGTGGGATTTCCCAGCATCTGCAGAAAGATGTGTTGCAATGTGCTGTTAATACCCCTGCAGTAATTAACAGAGGCTGGAATCTTGTGAAGTTTCACAGTTTAAAAGTCTTAATTTCTTTGTTGCAAAATCAAGCTCCCATTTTATTCATAAATCTCTGTTTTTTTCCTGCTTTAGACCCAGGATGCATTCGGAAAGTTTGTGAAGAAAGCCATTGTGCACTACAGGGATGACCTGGATCTGCAGAATCTGATGGATTACATCCAGAAAGAGGTGCTCTGGTTGATTCCTCTTGGACAGAATTCTCCTTCACTACACTGATGGTTGTGAGCATAGATCTGTGCTCTGTTTATATTTATATTTGGCCCTAGTGAGGATTTTCCACATGAGAAAATAAATAATGCATATCCTGCAGCTCCATGGGATTCCTTATGGGGTATTCCTGCTCCATCTGCACATCCTGGCACCACTTGGGAGCCTGGGTTTTTTCCTATTGGCAGGCTGCACTGTAAGAAATGAAACTGGACCATATTTTTAAATATACCCCTTTGTTTTGGCGTCTCTAGTTTAAGTGCTGTGGATGGAACAACTATACAGACTGGTCGTGGAACCTGTACTTTAACTGCACACATGATAATCCCAGCTCAGAGCGCTGCGCTGTGCCTTACTCCTGCTGCACTGCTGTTCCTGGAGAGGTGGGTTCTATTGTTTTGATGTTTCATGTTGTTCTTTATATATAATGTTAGACATGAATACTTAATAACTCAAAAAGGCTTCAAGGGTGTTTTATATGTTGGTTAATTAAAAAATGACCCAAAACTAGGACACATTGCCATGGATTAGGATTAAAACTAATTTTCAGTATTTATCATTAAGGTTTGGGCGCAGGGCGATTAAATAACAGCCCTTTCTCCTGTCAATCTATTATATTTTACACCCTTCATCCCAAAACAAACATCATATAAGCATCATGCATCCTTCAAATATGTGGCATGTCTCTGAAAATTGCTTATTTTTGAATTAACCTCAGAGAAATGTAATGCCAACATATACAGGTATGCTTGAATTTAACAGCATGAAAAACATCTAGATATCGTCCTTTAGAAATGACTGTGTCACACTTCTCTTACAGTTGTGCTTCAGATCACATCAAGAGTAAGCAGACTCAGATTAAATCAGCTCATCTTGATATGTTTTTTCCTCCGATCAGTTGTAGCTACTATAGTTTATGGCACGGGGACTAAAATCAAACGCACAATCATCTAACTGCAAGACCCCATTTTCCCACTAAGGCACAGCTGCCGCGGTGATCTGACATCTATGTAGAAGTTGCAATAGAGGAGGCAGCTTGTAAGGTATCTGAGTTGTGCTGCTGTAAGCTCGATCACCATGTCCAAAAAAATGTGTGGCAGCCTGGCTTAGCTTGAGATCACAGCATGAATGCTACAGTGTTGGACAGCTAGATGCCGATTTCTTCCTAAACAACCATATTTCTAGATGCCAAAGTACACAAAGTAGATCTGATTATGTTTTGTGAATGAAAAGAAATAAACTCACCAAGGTTAACTTTTTCTCCTAATACCAATAAGAACATATGGCGGTAGACGGGGGATTATGTGGCTTTGAACCTGAGCTCTTCTGCATAATAATATGTCGATTCTGCTATGAGTACACAAGACTATGTCAAAAATGACATACATTTAATCTAACAACAAAACAGAGTGATATGTGCAGAGAATAAAGATGCTGTACTGGTTAAATCAAAGCTTGGTCCTTAAACTTCATAGAATCTCCAGTAAAACTGTACAGAAGAGAATGAATTATTTGTTTTTGCATCGATAAAAAAAAGCAGTGAGTCATTTCAAGTAAATTACAGTAATAAAGCAAATATCTACAACAGTTCATTTCAGAGCTTGTGAAAACATGGTTATATAGCATCTCAATCATATAAGCCATGCTTCCTGTCATCCGTGCTGATTAAATGCTGGTTTATTCTCAGTAGTATTTCTAAAGTGGATTTCCATTCAGTGCAAACGCTTCATTTCATGTAGGTCAGATTATACTTTTTTTTAAAAAGGTATTATACTTTATCCTGCAACGTGCCATACAGCCGTTGGGCTGCAGATGCAAAACAAACAGCCAGAGTTGATTGACCACAACACAAACTGTATCATATTGAAATATGAGATTTCCTCTAGTCTCTCAAAACTAGAACTGTTTCTTTTTGCCTGAAGGCAGCAGCTGCATGTCTAGATCAGATAAAGGGTGATGTGGCTGTCACACAGGACTGGCCTCAGGATGAAAAACCTGGTTCCATCAGAAAAGATGAAAATAAGTGAAACGGAGAAAAAAAATGGTTTTTGTTTGATAAAAAAAAGAATATCAAAGGCAAGATGTCAGATGCTAAATCAAAGATATGTTGTATCGCTACATCTCAGTTTTCCCATTTTTAAAAAAGCGATAGACTCAAGTTTACCCCCAGGTTGCATCACCACTTCTTTGAAGAACACAACTAAATATTTTGCCACTCTTGCTTGACATTGTCTCTAAAGTCCAACAGAGCTGTGGCTCGTTGAGAAAACTTTGGCTTAATAAGATTTTTGCACATATTTTCTATTATATCTGTTACAAAATGATGGTATCCAACTAGTCTGAACATATGCATCATGTCCTCATAGTTTGATCTGCAAGAGGTGAATTCATCAGCAATCTACAGCAAAGCTGGCAGTGATTTCACTGAGTTTTAATGATATTCAGTACTCGGAGCATCAAAGAAGGCTGTCCACATACATATGTACGAGGTACATGAATGACAGAGCATGCCAGCTTTTATTGGGTCTACATTAAAAAAGGAAACTCTTTTGTCTATAAATGCTTATTTGGTGGGAACTCTTTCTAGTTATATTGCAGACCAAGCAGCACAATGTAAAAACTAAGACTGAAGGAAAACTAAGGAGCTCATGTTGAGCCATCACAGCATTATTGATTAAACATCAGGCTGCACAGAAAACGGATCACAGCAACCTTTTCCAACATGGTAGAAAAAAAAATCAATTAATTAAACAGCCTCACAGTCGATGCAGTGCTGCAACCTGCTGGTGGCAAATGGAAAATTCACTTTATCTGCAGGCCGGTTCAAGAGCTTCAAGTCATTGGTGCTTCACTATGTACGCCTGGACTGCTTTGTTTTTTATGGCTCATTAGCCTTCTGTGCCTCCGCCTGAGGTGTCACAATGATAACATTTAGTTTTTCCAGGAGCTGTAAGACAACAGCCCAGTGCAGTTTAATCTTGCATGAGGCTTATGTTGTATTCAAGGCCACTTTCTGTTTTTTTTCCTTCTATCCAGACAGTGATCAACACCATGTGTGGTTTTGGAGTTCAAGCCCAAACGTATCTGGATGCAGACAAGGCAATTTACCCAGTAGGCTGTGCAGACAGGGCAGTGATGTGGATTGAGTCCCATCTGCTGATGGTTGGAGCCCTGGCCCTTGGTCTGGCCTTACCTCAGGTAACCCACCTCACACTCAAGGACCTTTCATGTTATGCATGATTAAACTGCAGTCTTTTACCCCAGACCTCAGAAATCAGATACAAAAGAAGGCTTTTTCTTCTAAATAAGCTACAGGTCAATGAAGGCATCAATGGAGGCTTGCTGGGTAGAACATCCAGTAATCAACCTATTGAGCGGACCTTCCACCTTTAAGGCAGTGCTTCTTGCTGCGTTCAAGTAGTTCTAGAAACACTTCATCGACCAGTGCTCTGCATCAATTCTAAAGTAGACTTCTTCAATATAAATGTATTGTTTTCTTCCCAAGAACTTTCTGCAAAGTGCCTTTTCAGAGCATTATTACCACACCGTAGAAAAAGAAAAGCCAATGTTATAATAAATGCTCAGTGAATGTCAGCCCTTCCAACGACTTTATTTAAAACACCGACTTATGTGCAGTAATAAGGTGGCACAATGCAACAATTAACTCCAACTGCAAGATATTCATTCCAAGGTGTTTAAAAGTGCATTTTTAGCCTGTAAACCAAGTAAAGGAGTATTAAGCTGTAACAGTATCTACTGAAACAGGGAAGATGCTGACAACTCCCACTCAGCTGCACAGCACGTTCACACTCCCACAGCAATTAGTCCTTTTAATATCTAAAGTCAGAATAACATAATATAAGCTGTTATCAGGAGCTGCACACATGAGATAAAATAATCGCACAGCATCCTCTCACTGCATTCATTGACTGCGTTTCCCAGAAATCCCGTCAGACCGACCACATTAGTGCAGTCATTGCTTTGATGTTTTGGGAATTTGATTGTGATGATGCCTTTTTGGCGACGATGTTCAGCAGACACTGATTAGATCGGTCACTTTAACGGCAATTATTTGTTGGCTTGTTTTAATTATAAAGTAAAACGTCTGATGGGTGCATCAGTATAAAGGGCCTTGCAAAAGTATTTATACGCCTTAGAATTTATGGGGGAAAAAATGACAGTGTTTGCCAAAAGGAACACTTAAATGCAGTTTTTTGCATAACAGTGTTTAAGTTGAGCCACAGATTCATAAATTGTTTACTGCTCTAAATTTAAATTGAGTCATTCTCTGTATAATCATGCATCAATATGTATAATCATGAATATCTGTGGCTCTGACTGAATGTTAGGAGCGGCCGTACAGAATCCCCACAGCATAATGCTGCCTTTTTCTTCAAGATAAATCAGAATCAGAAATACTTTAATAATCCCAGAGGGAAATTACTTTTGTTACACACTCCAGATACAAATATATATATATATATATATATATATATATATACACACAACAAACCACACAAAAATATAACATATACACTTATAACTCATATATAAGGTGATCTGCTTCTGGCACATTTTTATATTGTTTTTAGTCTGAGAGACCTCCTTCAGAGCCAAATATCTGTCTATGTTGCTTAAAGGCCTAATCTATGTTGGAAATAACCACTTGTTTTACCATCACATTCTTCACCTGAGCTGTGGGTCCTGACAGCTCCTCCAGATTCCCCAGACTTTTTGGTTGCTTCTCCTACTTACACCCTGGTTTCTTCCTGCTGTGTTCCTTTTTTTTTTGTCATTTTTTATTTAAAACAAAAAACAGACCATCTAATCTCTTAAATCACACAGACAGGTAACGTCTTATTTAGTGCGGTTGATAAGGGAACTGAGTACACATTCACACTACTCTTTTTATATTACACCCTATTCATGACAATGCATAAAAATATTCAACGACTGATAAGATATTTGCAAAGGACAATTCATCATTTCATTTATGAGATGTTTTCCTGGCAGCGGCTAACAGAGAACTGCAGCATCCCTCCAAAGGGACCTTGAGATGCTCGTTGCTGGCTGTGGGAGAGCATGTTCTGTACTCTAAAGTGGCTGCTGATGTTTTCTAGATTGCAGGCATTGTGCTGTCCCAGATCCTGATCTCTCAGATCCAAAAGGAGATTACCTCAGCATTTTGAGGGCAGATGTAGAAGGACGTTTGTGGTGCTCAAATTTTCCCATGAGGGCAAACACATCTCACCTACATATCCTTTTCCTGACATGCCACTCTCTTTGACAAAATTAATACGATGCACTTTCCTGTGACACAAAAGGCACAACAAATGTATATAGTGCTTGTTTTTTTTTCTTTTTAATGGTACCATTTATAATAAAAATTACAAATTTGCAAATAAATGTGCATAATCTATTTTAATGAATTTTCACTTTATCTTCATAATTTCACATGTAACACACAATTATGCTCCAAGCCAAGGAATGTAAAGATGATCCATGAAAGAATTGTGACTATCTTGTTAACGGTGTCCAGCTCCTTCCTGTGGGTTTGACGTCTCCTAAACCCAAACAGTAGATCTGATTAGAGTGATGCTTTGATGTTTTCATGGGGGACCCGCCTGCGCTCGATGCAATCACTCTAGTCATGAAGAGCCAGAGCTTTCTGCATCAGACGATGGGTCAGAGGGGAGTTGGGCCTCACGGCATCACGCTCCACCAACAGACATCTGGGGAAATACAGCAGGAGGGAACGAAGAGATGAACAAAGATTCAGGGAGACTTCAAGCTGCGAGAACAACTCGATCAATAATGAAAGAGTAACACAGTGTGCAGATGGTGTCAGTAATAGAATGGAAGAATCAAGAGCCTGTGCTCTGCACACACAGATGTGAGAGAAAACAGAGGTGAGCAGTAGTCTAAACAGTGACCCTAGAGTAGTTCAGATGCATTTCATCCAGTAGACGTCAGAGCAGAAGCTTCGTTTTGACAGGTTTTCCAAATGGTGACAGCACAGATGGTGGAGTTCCACAGATAAACACAGTTCTGATCATGTTTCCCTACAAATTACATTGAAATGGTCAAAATGCTGCTGGAAAAGAATCAAGATGCAAAAATTTATTCTGGTGCAAAGCAATGAAGTGCCAACAAAGATTAGTTTTCCATTTATAGATGTAACCTCCTCAGAGGTGTCAATTAACAAAGTCCAAATACTCCGTTACTGTACTTAAGTACACTTTTTAGGTATCTATACTTTACTCCATTACTTATTTTTGTTCCTACTTCTGATTTCTAATCATTACAATTTCACACAAGTATCTGTACTTTCTATTCCTTACATTTTTAATACAAACGTTACTCATTATTTTTGGCTTCAGTTTAATGTTTATAAATATCTATTTCCCGTCATGTGCGCCATCCAATGCAGGTCATTGGCTCCATCCAATCTAGTGAAAACTAGTGTAATTGGATGAGTCATATAACGCAAACACTCATTGGTTAGCTAAAGGAAATCATCAGAAGCAAGCAGGTGTTCTTCAAACTGTAAATGTGAATTGTCTATAGCATGCTACAATGTCGGATTCAGAAAAAGATGTTGAAATGTTTTAAAGGTCAGACACAGGCGAGAGCTATCAGGAGACGGAGACCAACAAGACCTCCCTCATCCTTGGCCCGATCTCAAAGAATTTTTCGAAATAGTCGAAAAATGAAGCTTTCAATTCATATAGTGGCATCTGGCTGTTTTTTTCTTTTAAATGTTGCTTTATACTTTTATACTTTAAGTAGTTTTTGGAGCACATACTTTTTCTCTTTTACTTGAGAAAAGAGGTGAAGTTGAATTTTACCAGAATGTTTTTAAACTGCAGTATCTATACTTCTACTTACGGTAAGTAACAAATGTGTGTAGTTTTGACACCACTGAACCTCCTACATAACTAATTTTTAGTTTTGGGCTCAGAGAGTTGCAACTATTGATTTAAGGAATTGAGCAAATTTTTAAAAAAAGACAAAGGCATTCTTTTTTTTATTATTTTAATCAAAAATATGCAAATGAGCCGAGGATAATTTTCCATCTGATTGGATCAAGGGCTAGCAGGTCCACAGGGGAAACGCAGACACTCCCCTGCCTCCAAGTCTAGAGCTTGATTCTGTATTAAACAGAGCAGAGCAACATTACCCCAGACCAGGGAATAACTGATACAGGTTTTTTTTTTTTTTTACTGCCTATCCTGAATATTTTGACAGTAAACGGAAGAAAGTCTGGGATTCAAACGATTGCCAATTTTTTGGCAATTCTTGAGATTCTTGGAAGCAAATATGACTTTTTTTCCACCATTTACTGATAAACTGACACAGTGACAAGAAATGTTAAAAAGTGGAAGTTTAAACAAGAAAGATTATTAACAAATCAAACATAACATTACTGATAGCAAATGGAAGGAGCAGGAATATGTGGTTACGTAAATCTCTAATCAATCGGCGGCCAATTATCTGTCTATTGCTACAGCAGACGAAGCCTCGTCTTCAGTTACTCTTCCTGAGTCCACCTTCTTGGTGAGACCCATGACTCCAGAAAGCCGAATCCTCTTCGCCACTTGGCATTTGGCTGCAAACTGAGCCAGTTTCTAATTAATATTGTCGAATCTCTGAGCCCACAAAAAATAGAAATAAAAAGGGGCACGGTTTAAAAAGATTGTTTCTAGTTGCCAAACTTATCAACACCCAACTGTTCCTCTGCTGAGAGTGACCAGAAAACAAGTTAAAAATATCTCTGTACTGTCATCAAGTCTACAGGCATAAAAATCTCCCATAAATACATGGAAAGGGTCAAAGAGATAAAGACTTTAGAAAAAGAAAAAAAGTACAAAGAAACAACTATTATCAGATCATGTTTTTTTTCTTAGCCTTCATCAGGGTCATTTATACGAGAAAGCTAATAGGAGAGAAAACCGTCAAGAAATTAGTCTTGGGAAAAAGAAAAAAGGAGCAGTTCTCCTAAAGTAGCTGGTGAGTAGTTAGAGAGCATAGTGTTTGTGTCCTGGAGAGGCCAAAACATCACTGGGTTGTAGATAGTCTTCCACTTTTTGTCTCCAAGTAACTTGCCCCTCCCCACCCCTGCAAGTTGCTCACTGCTTCCTACTGGATCAGTTACACACAGAAAACAGATTTCATTGGAATGCACTATTGCAAGAACAAATAAAGATGATCATTATCGGCCAATATAATGCTAAAAATATCCCTAATCTTATAGAAATTTTTTGCAAAGCTCTGGACAATGTGGATCAGGAGAATCCTTCCTGACATTCCTGAACTCTATTAGTTTAGCACTATTCTTCGTACTTGTTGTCTTTAGCTTTTCCAGGACCGGGTCACAGGGGCAGCAGTCTCAGCGGAGACTCCAATGCTTATCTCTCCCCAGACAACTCTCAAGCTCCAGTGGGGGACGTCTCAGGCCAGCAGAGAGACATGGTCTCACAGCTTGTGCTGGGTCAGCCTCTGGGCCTCCTCTAAGCTGGACATAAAAATCCTCAAGCGGGGGGGTACCCAGAAGGCATCAGAAAAAGATGTCCAACCTACCTCAACTGAAGTGCGAAGGAGAACAGCTCTACTCCTAATCTCTGACTGAGCTCCCCATACTATGGAGTGCCCTGCACATTACAGCCCCTGGTCTTGGATCATAATTCCTACAATCTGATTTCTAGCATTCGATTACACACAGAAACTTAAATTTAGGCTGATATGTGCAGCAAACATCTCTCCTGGCCAACGCCTTAAAATACTGATGTTCATACAGGCCGCACTCAAAATTATACTGGAGATTGATCACATATAACAGTATAGAGAAGACTCCAGCTAAATGTATACTTTAATTTGTAATGAGAGCCAATAACTGATGAGAGGAAACAAAATCCTGCTGTAACGGGATGTGACCAGATCAGTAAGGGTTCATGTTGATATTAAATGTTAACAGGTGTTATTATGCATGTCTGGATCAATTCCTATCCTGGAAGCACAGATCTAAAAAACAGTGAAAACTTGTCACTGATAGGAGGAAATCTGGAGAAGCTTGTCAGTTTAGGAGACAAATCTTAAATAAATCCTTTAGATGAGTTGGTGGTGCGAGTTCTATCAAAAATATTCATACGCTTTGACCTTTAACACATTCCTTTGCTGCACCTCAACTTTTTTTGTTGAGTTTTTGACAGCCTATGACAGTGAACAGAGCAACAGGAACAAACAAAGAAAAAAGTAAAACATGCTTTTCACAATATGACTTGTACCCATTTAGGTTAAAACTTTGTAGAACCATCTTGTAGTTAAAGCTCCAAGTCTTTAATGGATGGACCCTCAGCTCTGGCCCTCCGGCCTTTGGTCAGCATGTAGACTGTGTCAAAAACTACATTAAGGTTTGTGGTTGAAATGTGCCTTAAGGTGGTTTGGTATATAATTAAAAGGCTCTA